GAGTGCCTCTGCCTGAGAGACAAGGAACCAGCAGTCTGCATACAGATGAGTCAGATATGTAAAACGGATGCACAAGCAACACTCAGGTTGTGGAACAGGACTGCAGTCTAGAAGTGGATAAACAACCACAACTTTCCGCCAGAGTTTACAGCTGGTGAATGTGAAGAAGAAGAAGAAGAAAAAGACCGGGAATGAGCAAGCTATGGCCCGCCTGCCAAAACTGGCCCGCCGAGCAATATTTACTAGCCCTGGAGGCTGGTATAAAATTATAGTCTACTCTGGTCCGGGAGCTCACACAATAACACAACACAAAAGCATCGTGCAGGAAAAAACTAAAATCCAAATATTAACATCCATAAACAGTGAAAATCTAAACAGTGATGACTAGTAACGGATTTCGTCGAATCTTCGATATTGCTAGTGAAACACGTTTTGCGGACAAATACAGATATTAGGAGACAGTGTATGTCGGCGGACTTAGATATAAGGCGACGGTCCCTGTTTTTTTTTTTTTTTATCATTCCAGGCTTCTTCCCCCCCCCCCCGCCCCTTTTTTTTTTTTTGAATATGATTATGATTTTTGCAAATAATCAGCTTAAACGTACACATTTAGTAATATACAGAAGGGCTTCAGTGGGTGAGTTACTGACTGACTGACTTTCTTCACCACCAGGACATCACACAAGCGATAAACACCTGATGACACAATGTGCCACCGTGCGGATGAGGATCGCCGTAGAGAGGTCCCAGAAACCGCGTTCAGCCATTAGGGTATTTTTAAAGCCGGGCTATATTGCGGCCCCTGGCAAGAGCCAGAGTAGGGCTTTAAATAACAATACATTTCATCCTAAAAAGGACGGGAAGTGATATGATGAGTGGGTGAGTGTGTCAGGTTAGAGGTGAAGCGAGGGATTACAATCTTAGACTACGCGACACAAATGTGTTACCAGGAAATCGTGGTGTTATATTTATAAAGAATTCTTTTCCCTTTATGATCCGCTAACCGGATAGTAACTCTAAATTTTCCCCGGTCTTTCTGAACGATAATGTTATATAGTGCTACAGTCAGGCATGGGAATATCAACCTATGGCAATCTAGCAAGACCTGCTTGTACCGGGAAAAGTATCCCGTTCCCTCCCCCACCCCCTCTACCCCCTCCAAAAAAGTACTGCGACTTCAGGACTATAGTTGCCCTCTCATTTATGTAACACGCTTAATTCCATACACACACCTTGATGGGTGGTGTCGTCAACTTCAGTCAGCCGCCTTTACTTCTCTCTTACATTGAGTTCCTTGTTTGGAGAGAGACGCTAGCAGACTGACAACTGAGATTCTTACCTTTGCCACCGAAGATCGGGGTGGGGAGGATGGAGGAACGGGGTGTTTTTATCCGCATCCAAGTGGATTTTAAAAAATGGAATTTATTTCACTGGTCTACCCAGCCAATATTTCATGCCAAAGAAGTCATGGAAAGTATTCTGAGACTCCTATCCAGCAAGAACCAACACTGCACTTCGGTAAGCTACTATTACCTCTGCCGACACACACACACGCGCGCGCACACACTCACATACACACCACACACACACACACACACGCACGCACACACGCCCGCATGCACACACACACATACACGCCCGCATGCACACACACACATACACACACACACACATACAAACCATTGTTAGCTAAAAAAAAAACACAAACAGGGCTGTGGGTGGTTGAAAATAAAATAGGAAAGGGGGGGGGGGGGGTTAATTAACTCACAAATGTTCTGGGGCTAGAAAGGGGGAGTCTCCTCGTGACCCCGAAGCTTTTTTTTTCAGTGAATAATAAAAGTGAAAATGATGATGATGATGATCATGATGACGAATACAACGACAACGACGATCATGATGATGAAGATGACGACCACGATAATGATGATGGTCGTGGTAATGATGCTGATGAGAAAGATGATGATAATGATGATGATTTCGACGAAGATGATGATGATAGTGATAACGACGACGACGATGATGATAACGACGACGACGATAATGATGATGAAGACGACGACGACGATGATGATGATAAAGACGACGACGACGATGATGATAACGACGACGACGATGATGATGATAAAGACGACGACGACGATGATGATAACGACGACGACGATGATGGTGATAAAGACGACGACGACGACGATGATGATAATGATGATGATGATAATGACCACGATGATGATTATAATGATGATGATAATTATGATGATGGTGATATAGATGATGGTAATAATGATAATATTAAAAATGATAATTATGACGATAACAATGATGATAAACGGTATGATGAATGACAAATAGATAAGATATAATAATAAATATGTTCGAAATACGCTACGTATTAACTGAAATGTAAAAAAATAAACATATCTTCTCTACGTGGCTAGATTTGCAAAAAGGGAGGGGGGGGGGGGACTTTGAACGAAACTCTCATGCCTAGTATACTTTTGCTCCCATGTTGTGGCGCCCCTAGCCAGGATATACCAGCCACCACGGATGAGAGTCCTTCAGATCAAGTTGTGAAGAGAACGCAGGAAGTTTGACCAGCCAAATTTACCATATGCCAACTCTAACACCCATCCATCTCATCTCTGCATTCACTGTGTAGAGAACAGACAACGGTTAGGTTAAGCGTTCTTTGTCGAGGCAACACGGGCGTGCGCTATGAATTGTTTAGTTAACTTATTTGTGTCGTGTGCTGTAGCTGTTTCTTAAGGTGTATATTGTGTGTGATATGAAGGTGGAATTATTTAATTCATACAAATTGTGCTTAACTTTTACAATTACGTGAGGACTGAGATTTATAAGTTTTGTTAGCTTCTCTGATGATAAGATTTAAATGATAAATAGTGTAATTTAGGTTGCGTTGAGTTAGAGCACTAGTTTTATATTGTGCAGGAGATGTGTGTGTGCGTTTGTGCAGATAGACTGAAAGACAAACACAATGACATCAGACAGACAGAGAGGCAGAAGGGAGGGAGGGCGGACGGACGGACGAACAGACAGAGAGACAGACAGAGAGACAGACAGACAGACAGACAGACAGACAGACAGACAGACAGACAGACAGACAGACAGACAGACAGACAGACAGACAGACAGACAGACAGACAGACAGACAGACAGACAGACAGACAGAATGTTGTATCCTGCAAAGGATTGTGACGGTAATACTTTTAAACAGTTCGGAGCTTGAGACTGTGAGCCGATGCAGCAAACATCTTACTCACTCTCTGGTTTGAAATTATTGGGACAATTTCATTAGAAACTTGAAACTTGAAACTCCACAGTAAAAATGGCTCACAGAATAGAGTGCTTTTTTAGAGTGCCTGCAGATGTGACTGGTTCTGTATCTTCACTTCTATCTGGGGTCACAATTCTGTTACTACTGTCTAGCCGGTCTGTAGGTTCAGTGGATATCAATTCTACAACGGTAAGAATTAGTGTTGTTGTTATTGTTTATTACTATTATAATTATTATTTTTATTAGAAACTCCTCATTAGTACTTTGGGCCAGGTGGGGTTGACGTAGAGAAATATTTTTACGGAGGGGTCCTCGGTCCCTTATAAATGTATGTGTGGAGAGGAAGAGGAGAATTGTTTGTGTTTAATAATAACAATGAAGATGATGACGATTTTAGTAATATTAATCATAATAATAATAACAACCATAAATGTAACAACGTTATTTGGTAAACAAAAACAATAATATTTTTGAAAAACTATATAGCAGATGTATTATTAAAAACTTCAAAAGTGAATTTCTATACAAGGTACAGGGAAGGGGCAGCTTCGCATTCTTACAAATTTAGGGCACAGCGGCTGACAGCCCCCCCCCCCCCTCTTTTCCCCCCACCAGATTGAAAACAAATTCCATGTCCTTTTTTAGATAGTGATCATACACATAAGCAAACAAGAAATGTTAAAAAAATGATAATGATGAAAATAATAATATTTAATAATAATAATGATAATAATGTGATCAGTGGTAAATAAGTGTAACGTTATGTATTAAATAATCACTGTATAAACGAAAACAAGTGCCGTTTATCATCTCCGAGCTGCTTCCCGAAAACTCAACACCATGAGATCAGAAGATAGTCTAGTTTGACACCGGAAGTTCCAAAAGTCCGTGCTAGTGGCAGGCGAAATGGCAAGTCCAGATACCAAGCTCTTTAAAAAAGAAATTCCCCTGCCACCGCAGCATTTGAAGGATGAGAATCACACCGGTACAAAATACGGAAACCCCGTACAACCGTATTACCCACATAGTGGAGCACCACGGAACGGTTACAAGGTTAATTGTAGTTGGTGAGTTGCGTTCTTAGATACACCTCTCATCGCTACATGCAAGTTATAAATAGGGCATCAGTAACGGCTAGACTAGAAATGTGTAACCTAGGTTAGTTGCGTATCCTTTACAGGACGTTGCAGAACCAACCCCAACAGCCCCTGGCTGTTGTGTGGTTTTCCTAGGCAAATTTACGTCAAGTAGTTTGCCATTGCTTCTGGACGGTCTGCTTTCTTGATACCACTGTCGAAACCAACGTAAGGCTTATTTATGGTCCGCAGCTGGGATCGAACCCGGTATCCCGTCATTACTAAGCGTTCGCATCGACTTACCCACAGAGCCGACTGTGTAACCAAGAGTGACGTCAAAATGGGGATATTTATAAAAAAAAAATAATGTTCTTTTCCGTTGCTCTGTTAAAAAAAAAAAAAATTGGTCAGGTTCAACCAGCAACCCCGAAGATGGAGTTTTATAATTCTGACTAGGTTATGAGCATCATTTATTATGACTTAGCATTGCATGGACTCCTGTTGTCTTTTTTTTAAATTTTCAACTGTAATTCTTTTCTAAACTTTTTTTTTAAATGTCGCATACCGTTTTCTCCGGATCGTGTTTGTTCAGTGTAATGTTTGCATGTCATGTATTTTTTTTTTTTTTTTAATATGTATTTCTAGAAGTACTGCCTTTTGTTAGTAGTTTTGTATGTTTTGCGAATCAACATTTAGTTCACATTAAAATAATTATGCATACATCAACCACAGTCCTCATTTTAAACCTCTAGTTAAGATATTGTATGTTATATATATTTACTTTAAAACAGTTATATTATAATGAACCAGACACATTTTTTTTTTTTTTCAAATTTACAAAACCATGAGTTGTAAACATTTTGACTCTGTACTATGGATATTGCAACCCGTTGGCCTTGATTTCATGATAGATACCGTAAATCTGGGAAATATATGGCTTTTCGGCCTACCCTGAGCAAAAAGGGGGTACTACAGGGAGTTTGTCACCCAGTCGCCAGACAGCTGGTGTAACCAACTTAGCTAGCGCGCCGGGCACATATATTGTTAAGATGTAGTCCGTGCATTACACACAAAACAAAGAACGTACGTATATTTTTTAAATGCCAGAGCTCTTTCAAGGCTTTTTCCCCTGACTTTTGCTCTTCTATTTCTTTTCTTTCTTCTCTCACCATTTCCTCGTCTTCTCCTCTTTACCCTCTCTTTGGTGCTTGCTGAAGATGACGTCAAACGCAGAGCTCCAGCAATAATTCTTATCTTCTTCTTTTGTCAAAATCTGCTTGTGTCGCTAGGCGTCGCAGTCTATCAGCTGATCGGCAACCGAGCCAGGGCGCGCTCAGTCGCTTCATATGCCGTGATGTTATGAAGTCTCAAGTTGTCCGTGACTCCTTCAATCCATCTTCTTCTTGGTCTTCCCCTGCCTCTTGTTGTTTCGATTTTCATGTTGTATGCTCTTGATGCTGGCATCGTTGGTTCCACTCTCATTAGGTGACCAAACCATTTCATTCTTTGCTTCTCAATAAATTTAACGATGGGTATGGTTCCAATAGTTCTTGTAATCACATTGTTTCTCACTCGATCTCTTCTGGTTTTATTCGCAGCCATTCTCAAACATCTCATTTCCCAGGTGGTTAGTCTTCTCGCGTGTTCTTTTGTTAATGTCCAAGTCTGACATTGATAACCTAATGTCGGTATAAAGATTGTATTTATAATTTTTTTTTTTTTTTATCTCAGCTGGGACAGCAGGGTGTTTTAAAATTGGGGCAAGCTGGTATGCGACATTGTTGGCTTGTTGGATTCTTGCTTCGATCTCTCTGTCTATTTTACCATTGAATGTAAAGATACTTCCCAAGTATTTAAATTCTTGCACTTGTTTTAGGCTGTGATCTAGAATCTTTATGTCGATGGTCTGTTGCTCTCTGCTTATGCTCATGACTTCTGTCTTTTCAGTATTGATCTTCATATGATGCTTGGGGCAACTGTCGTGTAGTAGGTTTATGTGGTCTTGCAGCTGTTTACTATAACTGGGAAATAGGCATTGATCGTCGGCAAAGAGCAGCTCATTGAAGTCCTCCTGTTTATCGACATCTGTTGGTGTTATGTCTATTTTATTAATATTGTCCATAAATATTATAAAAAGTGAAGGTGATAATACACAACCTTGTCTTACTCCTGATGTTACTGGGAACCAGTCTGTGATGCCAGCTCTTGTTCTAATGGCGCTTTCACTTTGTCTATAAATAGCCCTAACACATTCTAAAATTGTTCCATTTATACCGTAGTTTTCAAGAACTTTCCGTAATAAATTTCTGTTTACTCTATCGAAAGCTTTTATAATTTTATAATTTTTATAATTCTTATAAAATGAGAAATCCATACGACAAAATTGTTATGAAACAGGAAGTAACCGGTCACCCTAGTAGAGCCTCTCTGCTATGGAAGAGGCAATGGATGTCCCTGTCGTCCACACGCTTGGCGCCGCTCCTCCAGCTGACCTGACGTACACGACTGACTATCCCACAGCCATTCAGCCCCTCAGCACGTAGATCCACTTAAGGCTTGGTTTTTTTTAAACCGAAGTTGTCTCCACTAGATCCGCTGTGTTTTTTCTCAAGGCCGCAAGGTTTTGGTTAACGGGGTCACCTCTTGAAGGATGTGCTTTTTCGGTCACGCACAACAGTCTTGACTGTAGAAAGGTTTACCAGGGTCAGGGGACTTACCACCTAAGTGCGCCCTTTTCAACTTTAAGGCTAGAACCAGAGACTCACAAGGAGGAACAGCTGGTGTGCTCCACTGCCCTAGAGTCTTAGCCACCAAACCAAAAGACTGAGTCTTCATGACCCTCAACCGCTAGGCAGATGTGGTCAGGGCCCTTTGGGAACAAGCAGCGGAGTCAGAAGCGAAGCATGATTTTTATTGCCTGGTGAGAATGAGGAACCTGGGTGTAGCCAGTGGGTTTGGCCGGCGCACTACACTCATTGCAAAGGCAAGACAGTCATATAACCAGATTACGACCAGTACCATTAGTATTGTAACTCTGCACTGGCTGCTGAGGATAAGGACGAAAAACGCATGGAAATGGCCCGAGTACTGTGATGCCAATTCTGGACTCAACTCAACTCGAGGCTTGATATATATCAATATCATCAGGTGCCTTGTCGACTGGCGTGGGCGATCACGCCTCTCCATAATCTGCGATCTCCTGCAACATGTATCAGTTCGTGTGCGGACACACCTCCATGCCATGCAACAAGACTGTCAAGAACCTTCTCTTGGTGTCTTCCTCTATCCCTCATTCCACAGATCTTTTCAGTGGTCACAACATGTTCTATTTTCCCTTTTCTTAAAACATTGCTGAAAAATGATGACTGTCTCCTTCTGATGTCTGTGATAAGTTTTCTTCTGGCTCCCGCCTCTTTTCAAACCTCTTGGTTGCTCTTTTTGGCTGTCCAATGTATTCTAAGCATTTTTCTGTGAAACCACATCTCTGAGGCCTCAAGAAATTGTTTGGCCTGCCTACCGATTGTCTAGGATTCACAGCCATATGTTAAAACTGGATGTATGTAGCAAGCAAGAATTCTTTTTCTAACTCTCAATGACAAGGATATATTGCACGAGATGTTTTTTTCATTTTATAAAATGCAGTTTTTGCCTGTCCTATTCTGTTTCTTATCTCAGTTATGCATCTTCCATCTGATGTTATCCATGTTCCCAAATACTTAAATTTCTGTACGTGTCCTAAAATAACACCATCAACTTTTATTACACACTTAGGAATAATTTGTTTCTTTGATACCACCTTTACTTCTGTCTTCCCATTATTCAAACTGAGGCCCATTCTTCCACTTTCTAACACCACAATGTCTATCATTTCCTGTAGTTCTTTCTGACTTGTTGCTATCAAGGCTGTGTCATCAGCATAACGTAAAATGTTTATATTGTGTCCACCAACCACAATTCCGGGCATATCAATTGAAGATCTCATTATATATTCACTGTATATTGAAAACAAATCAGGTGACAGTACACATTCTTGTCGTACGACCATCTTTATGCTTTGAAATGTACCTAAACAGTTGTTAATTCTTATAGCTGCTGCTTGCTGCCAATACATAT